AAATGAACAACTGAACTAAAGATATGAGGTCAGCTGTAATACAACAATATGTATATTTAAGAGAGACTGTGTGGGTGAAAAAGGATTGGTGGTCTCTTGAGTTATGATTCTGAGAAATAAGATATACTGAGTTCAACCAGCAGCTTCCTTAATGAACTATTTTGAAAAGCTATTTAGCTAAAATGCTACTAAAAGACCAAAATATGTCTTCAAACTTACAGTTTATATAGAAGAAATGTTGAGGATGCTGATATGGTCTTTAAGCTAGTGCACATATCAAATAAATATGTGCATTGTCATTTGATGTCGGCACAATCAAGGGTTGTAGGGCATTCCTAGCAACTAATATGTGAGCATTTCCTTCAGCTCAAATCTAGCATGGCTAATACAGTTACTGACTGTCTTCAGCCACATTTAAGGAAAATAGCCACTGAGAAATGCACATTCTCTTACCCTTCTTTTACTTTCTTTGATTCCCCAACTCTCTTATTATAAAATCCAGCTTGTGTGCCCAGTATTCTTCAAAGCTCAACATAACACACAAATGTCTTAGAACTCTTATATGCCATTAGCACAAACAGGACATGAATAGCAGACTCTCAGTTTTAAGTCATATGCATCCTGGTATCAGTGTCTGGCTTCTGGGGTTTTCTTGACAACTCACAAGGTTTAAATAAACAAAGCACATATTTTCTTAATGAAATGAAAGGATAAGCTTAAACTTTTTAGGAGTCTTTCATTGATTGCATTTTGCATGATATAATTAAGTTTATTAAAGAAGTGCCTCTGTACCTGAGCTACTGAACAGAAGTAGTAGCAGTTGGGAGAATGATTTGAATGGAAAGTAGTATTGAAAATCGGCATTACAAGTTTCACTAAATGAAACAGAAAATTAACAATATGTAATGGTTTTTGTGGGTTGAGTAGCAGCCAAGATGGTAAGGATGTCAGGCCTTGCCATGGATTCAATAATTAGTTCATCAGTTCTGGTGACTTGGTGTCTATAATAGTAATTATTAATTTATTAATTTTAATTAAACAACTATTTACTAAGCACTTGCCGTGGGCCAGGGTCAGAGTTAAATGCTTCCGCACAAAGATAAAAAAATAGATATACTTCTTGACATGTTCAAGACTTATCAAGACACATATTGCTATGAAGTTCCCATAGCATTAGTTGAGAAAAGCAGGGGAATTACCATATGATTCAGCAATCCCACTCTTGGGTAATTAAAGGAAAAAAAAATTCACTATTTGCACTCCCATGTTTATTGCAGTACTTATAATAGCAAAGATATGGAATCAACCTAAGTGTCCATCAGCAGAAAAATGAGTAAAGAAAATGTAAGAATGAAACTCTGTGATATGCAGCAACATGGGTGGAACCAGAGATCATTATGGTAAGTGAAATAAGCCAGGCATGGAAAGACAGATGCTGCAAGTTCTCATTCATATGCGGGAACTAAAAATGTTAATCATATGGAGGTAGAGAGTAGAATGACAGATACCAGAATCTGGGAAGAGTGAGTGGGTGGGAGGGGTATAACAAGAGGCTATAGGAACACATAGGTAGCAGGGCTAAGTTTTAATATTCACTAATGGGGTGAATACAGTTAACAACAGTATATTATATATTTCAAAATAGCTAGAAAAGAGGACTTGAAATTTCCCCAACACATAGAAATGACAAATACTCAAGGTAATGGACACTCAAAATATCCTGATTTGATCATTACACAGTCTATATATGTAACAAAATATCACATACACTCCATAAGAATGTACAAATATTTGTACCAATTTGAAAACAGAAGAGCAGGGTAGAGATCCTGTAGTCTGGGATTTCCCTATTGACGTGGACAGGCACTTAACCTCTTAGTATCACTTTCCACTAGCATACAAGGACAGCAAGAGGATAACAGTAAAACTGCTCTATCTGGCTTTCTCTCAGTGTCGGTGTGATATACAAATGAGATAATCGATATGAGAATGCTTCGAAAATTGTAAAGCACTCATTTTATTTTCACCTTGTTATAGACAGAAATAATAATTTCCACCTATTCACCTCATACAGATGCTGTTTCTTTTTGGCATTTATTGAACAACAATGCTCTCTCTCTGATTTACAAATAGAATTAGACAGAGGTCCTGCCCTGTGATTTTAAACTAGGCAGGCATGCATGATAAAAAGATGAGAAAACATTCAAGGTAGACAATATTTTGCGATGATCATTAATGTGTTTATAAAAGGCTTATGCATTTTTTAGATGGAAAGTACTATGGGCGTTTTTCATAATTCTTAGGATATTTGCTTATTGTGAAAAATGATAATCTGTGTGATTTAAAAACAAGAAGAAAAGAAAGATACAAGATAGAAAAAAAGTGAAAGTGGAAAGAAGGAAAGAAAGAGGCATGGGGCAGGTAAGTCCAAAAAATGTGTTGAACATCTTATTACACGCTTTATACTGAGTCCTAGATGGGGGAAACATTGATGTAGGCATGAGATGAACAACAACTCAATTTGCAAGTGGACAGTTTGCTTTGCTCAGTAAACTATGCCAAGTAGTTCCACTTATGGTTGACTATGATATTATTATTTAGCTTTGAAAATATTAACACTAAATATAGTAACAACTATAGTAATACCCCCAAATATATTAGCATTTGTACAATGCCTCAGATTTTTCAAAGTTTTTATGCAAACATTTTAATTTAATTCTCATGATAACTTTGTGGGATGAGCATAATCATTATCTCTAATTTAGAGATGAAAAAGTTGGGACAGAAGTTGGCAAAATAATTTACTTGAAGTAAGACAGTAAGGAAACCCATGGCTTGAACCTAGGTTTTCTGACTTGAAGATATGTGCATTATTTATCTTCATTTCACAGAAATAAATCCATGGTCTAAAATAAAGCAGTATCATAATACTGCTTTGTTATAGAATAAAGACTGCTTTTTTATGGTTGGGGAGAAAAGAAACTCTGGAAAATAAATTTAAAAGAAAATTCAAAGCACGAGTTGAATGTGGAAACATTTTCCCTCATACTCCTCATCTTAATCTAGCTCTAGAGTTTACAAATCAATTTCATTGGCTTTCAAAGTGATGCAATCATTAGAAGGATTTTACAAAACGATTCTTCCAGACAAACACTGCCTCCTTAAGGAATGTCACTGTTTGGGTTTAATCATAGAGTGTGGTTCTGTGTATGCATAGCACATATTTCTTTCATATTTGTTAGGATGCTTAAAAGAGAACCTTGGTACAATATTCACTAAAAAGTTTATAACACTTATTTTTATTTAGCGATAGGTAAGCATGTGTAAAAATGATCTAAAAAGACAGTGAAAATGGTTTTAGAGAAAAGTATGACAAAGTGACAATTGACATTTCAGTTTCAAAAATTAAACAGGATTCTAGTTAATTGTATTAATGACAAGACTAGACACACAAAACATACACACATCCAAATAACTAATCATGGTTGTCAGCAAAACTTTAATGATTTCCTTGAAATCCAACAGTCTTCTGGTCCAAGAACTGATTACTTTATAACCCCTTTGCCAAAGTCAGGGTAAAAGATCTCTCTCTCTGTCACTCCACAATAAGAACAATATCTTTAACGTTAACACAAGATCTTTTACTACAATAAGAACAAAATCTTGTTTCTCCCCTCTTGGACTAGTATCTCCATTCTGTAATCTAAAATGCAGATTGTCTTACTAAAACAGCTGCTAGAAACCAATTTCCATTTCTTTACCCTTTCATTTTTTTCTCCTATAATTGTCACAGAACAAAACTACCAAAAATGTATCAGTATAAAACCACAATCTGGAGTTTCTATAGCATCAGAGAATCTTTTGACTAGAAGGGTACTTGATTGATCTTCAGTGTCTGGATTTAGGAAGGACTGTGCATAAATGCTTTTGAAGAAAAACTATAAAGATCTTCAGAGAAGACAATTCCATCATCTTTCTTATTAACTCATGTTGGGGACAATCTTTTTCATTGTCAGGAAGCTCTTTATACTTTGATTAAAATCTCATGCCACAGATTAAGAAATATAAATATACAGACTGAATCTCTAAATGTGAAAATTTGACTCATAAAAATGTTTTAGATATGGAAAGAATTTGAATTCATTTATTTCAAAAACTTGTGATTTTTATAACATGAAACTCACCAAATGTTTCTGGCTGGGTCACATGAAAGAGACATTTCCTTAATGAGAGCACATTCATGGTCTGAGGCTCCCTCCACAGTTTTGTAGTTTTAAAAGTTGAGGAGTGGGCTGGGCGCGGTGGCTCATGCCTGTAATCCCAGCACTTTGGGACACCTAGGTGGGCAGATAACCTGAGGTCAGGAGTTCGGGACAAGCCTGGCCAACATGTTGAAATCCCGTCTTTACTAAAAATACAAAAATTAGCTGGGTGTGGTGGTGCGCGCCTATAATCCCAGCTACTTGGGAGGCTGAGGCAGAAGAATCACTTGAACCCGGGAGGCGGAGGTTGCAGTAAGCCGAAGTCATGCCACTGCACTCCAGCCTGGGTGACAGTGAGATTCCATCTCAAGTAAATACATAAATAAATAAATAATAAAAAATACAAGTTGAGGAGTGGTCTAGCCCTGAGCAGTGGAATTATGCTAGCTAAAATCACAGGAAATTGATTTACAAGCATGGGAATATGGTGTAATGTGAGGACTTGGGTCGTGAGCTGGAAGGAGGAAGAGAAGATATGTATATTTTCTGCTGGGCTGTTCTTGTACAGATATCACTGTGTCTGAAAAACAAAGTTCCAGTAGTTATTTATTTAGAATGCAGCTTAGATATGGTAAGTTAGTGAAGAGAGAATTCATAATGAAACATAGATGTTCCTGAATCTATGTAATGGAGTTCTCTTTTGAACAGATAAGAATCTACAGTCAGTCACACTGATAGAAACAAGAAGAGACAGCTGACATCTTGATGAAACACAGAGAAAGCACACAAGTGACCTCCATGGTTTATTTGGTAGAAGAGGAATGTAAACTCTACATACCCCTCCTATCCCTTGGGGATCAATTAAAGTGGTTGTATCCAAAATCAGTTAATGAGGGGTATGTCAAGGTTAGGGAAGATGGCAATACTTCACATTGTCTCATTACATCTTCATAGAAAGTCTTAGGAGATAGGCATTAAATAATCTCTATTTTTAGAAGAGGATATCAAGGTTAAAAAATTTACCCAAGTTCACTTGTGATAGACCCATGATCCAAATCCAGCTCAATCTGATCATAAATCTCATAATACTTTTACTTTTCCGTGCTTGCCTATCTTTCCATTCAATATTAATATTTATTCTGATGATTCTGATTTGTGAATACTAAGTTAAGGGATTTACGGCATATTTGTTTTATTAGAACTGCCACCAAAGTATTTAAATTTAAAAATGTTTCGTAACTTATTTTCATTTTTCGTCATTCTGGTCAATATGGTTGTATTATAATTCAAGACTGGTTTCTGATGATGCAGTCAAAGGAAATGGAAGTGGAGAGCCTCCATCTCTTTGGACTTTATCACACATGAGGGGAATTCTGTGTCCGCTCAACTCTCATAAGCTTGGTTGTGGACACAATGGCCTCATCCTGTCTCTCAGTTTCAGAGTTTCTGTTTCTGCTCTCACCTCATTTTTTAGATTTAATGCTATAAACTTGGCATCTCTGAATAAATACTTCAGTACCTCTTCCTGCCCAAGTTCACTTTTCAGCCCAAGGTGAACCTGTGCAAATACACCTACAGCACCTAGCACACAAAAAAATCAAGACGAGTGCTCCTGTGCAATGAGTTTATCTTTCCAGTTGCTAAATTTCTCTAATTTGTAAAACATGATGACTCTCTCCTTTGATTAATGCTAGAGACATCATACCAATTCTCTGATTCTTCTTTTGCAATTTAGCAGTCACCAAAACTTTTCAATGCATATTATTGTACAATGTAAACAGTTCCCAAGATACAGCTTGTCTCATGTGTCACGTTTTATCTCATTGTTTTCTTGGAAGAGTTGCACATGAGTTGTACTTAGAACTTTCATAATTTACAATATAGTGTGTATATTCTATAGAGAACTCCTATAGATAGTTAATCCCACCTTGTTTTCTCTCCCTCTCTTTCCTTCCTTTTTTCTTCTATCAGTTCTCTAGTTTTCATTTTAAGAGTAGCACTAGAATTCCTTCTCAGATTTGCAGAACGCGATGGGCTGGGATTAAAGCTGTTTTACTTTGGGAACCCGTATCCCTCTATGCAACTAGCATACTGGCAAAATTATAAACACTGTTAGATTTTTTTATTAATAATGATAGCTTCCTGGGTAAACTAGTGCACATACTGAACTGCAGAAGTAGGAAATTCTATTGGAACTTTAGCCATCATGTGCATTAACTGTTAAGGATTGTTTATAGATTCTTCAAAGCAAAATAAAACAAACTTTCCAAAACTTGCCCGCAGCAATGGACATAAAACATTAATTCAAATAATTCACCACCTCTGGGTCAAGCTTCTGCTGGGCCAGTATGTAGATGGTCACTCCAATGAACACTCTGGTTACTTATTGAAATCAAGAATCTTTTCTGCTCTCTCAGGGAATGCAGTACTAAATCCAAGGTTAGCACTGGATCTCATTTTGAGGGTGGAGGTTAAGTAACGCAAAGCACCTACAGAGTGGCCAGAGGCCAAGGAGCAGGGCTTGTGACTCCAGAACATATCAGCATCAGCACAAGGTGAGATTAAGTTTTTAAAGGGCCATTAAAAGTATTCATTATTAGAAGTGGTAAAAGTGGAGAAATATGAAGAGAAGGTTTCAAGGACGATCAGTGAAAATTCCATTTTAAAGGACTTGCTGAGCAAAGAGCCCATCTTGGAAAGAAAGTGTAGGAAAGGAAAAGAAACACGTTTGAGCCTTTTTGTGAAAGTTTTTGTCTTTTTTTTCTAAAATGGTAACATTTAAAATGGCTGAATCTTGACTTGAATGACTTTTTGTTTTGTTTTGTTTTTTGAGATGGAGTCTGGCTAGTCACCGAGACTGGAGTGCAATGGCACAATCTTGGCTCACTGCAACCTCTGCCTCCCAGGTTCAAGAGATTCTCCTGCCTCAGCCTCCCCAGTAGCTGGGATTACAGGCAAATGCCACCATGCCCGGCTAATTTTTTTGTATTTTTAGTAGAGACAGGGTTTCACCATGTTGACCAAGCTGTTCTCGAACTGCTGACCTCAAGTGATCCACCCACCCTCGCTTCCCAAAGTGCTGGGATTACAGGCGTGAGCCACTGTGCCTGGCTGACCTGAATGACTGTTTAACAAGAATAAATATATGCAAAGAAAATGTCTGAAAGGGTATATGCCAAAATAGTAATTGTAGTAAGTCCCTGAGAGGGTAATACTACTGCGATTTTTTTTTTTTTTTTTTTTTTTTTTNTTTTTTTGGAGACAGAGTCTTGCTGTGTGTGTTGCCCAGGCTGGAGTGCAGTGGCACAATCTTAGCTTACTGCAACCTCCACCTCCCAGGTTCAAACGATTCTTCTACCTCAGCCTCCCACCTGCAGCTGGGATTACAGGTGCCCACCATCACACTTGGCTATTGTTTTTTCATTTTTAGTAGAGACAGAGTTTTGCCACATTGCCCAGGCTGGTCTCAAACTCCTGAGCTCAGGCAATCCACCCTCCTTGGCCTCCCAAAGTACTAGGATTATAGGTCTCAGCCACCGCGCCTGGCCGATCTTTTTCTTTATACATTTTTGTATTGCCTATTTTTTTCTCCATAAGCATACACACTACTTTTACAACTGGAAAGTGGTGGGGAGGAGAGGACAGTGAACTATTTTTATTTAAAAGAAAGACATTTTCACAGTTGGTATTAATCCTAAAATGAATGTTCACATAGTTAAATTAGCAGGGCAAAGCACCATTGGGGAGGCAGAATCTGTGTGACAGAAACAAAACAGAGGCTAATTAAAAACAAATGAACACAAAGCTTGGGTTTTGCAACAGCAGCAGAATTTATAGAATTACAGCACCTCTAGAATTATGGAATCCACAATTTCCTGCATGTGTCAGTTTCTGCCAACTTTTGGTTGTCTGTGGTTTTCTTAAAATATCCTTGGAAGGGACTCCCAGGAATCAGCTCAGTTCAACATTATAATAAAGATTTACAGAATTTCTACAGGAGCTTCCTATTCATCACTGTGTTCCAATTTTTTGCCACATACTTTTGATTTAGATCCAAAGTTTACAAAGATTTACTGAGTTCCTACGACACAACAAAGGGACCCTTTTTCATGTTACTAATGTAACTTAATGTTACTTAATGAAAGCTTCTTAAGAAACTAATGAGGTAGGTGTTATTATCTACATTTCACAGACAAGGGAAGTGAGGCTCAGAAAGTGAGGTGCCCAATCTCACACAACAAGTTGTTGCCTGGGCTGGGATTTGAACTCAGATCTTATGATTCAGTATCCTGTGTTGTTTTCATGCTGTGCTAAGACCACCTCTGGAAAAATCAAAAGATGTGACTAACAGTCCTAGCTTCCCCACATGAAGCCTCTGGGGCCCATTTGGAGGCAGTTTATATAAAGCATTCAATACATGGATGGCTGGGCTTCAAACAGCTCTAATTAAGTAAATGGCTTTATGTCAATTCACTCTATAAGTGCTTTTTGACTTTTCATAATTTTTTCAGGAATTGCATGAAGAAGTTGTGTTTTTAAAAATTAATTAAAAATAATTCTGTGTTAAGTGGAAAGAAACTGAGAAGGTGAAAACTAAAAAAAAATTGTAAGGAGAGTAGTAATAGAATGTTAAAATTGTACAAGAAGAGACTTCTGGGTCTTTGTAGACGTAGAAACTTCAAAATACTGTTCATGGGTTGCCCTATAAATTATTGGATGGGTTAAATATAAGCTCTAGCATATTCTAACCTATTCCAGTCTGCCCAGGGATCCCAGGGATTGGTCATCCACAGCCGTCATTGCCCACATAGTCTATCCCTCCTTGTCAACTTCTTCATATCCTCAATCTAAAATCCACACTATAGCAATAGACTAGCTTTTTACATGATATATGGTGTGATCATCTAAATGATTACTACTGGGGAATATGAATATGAAAATATGCATATTATACATTGGCCTTTGATAATCAATTATAACCCAAGTGGTTTATTTATTTAACAAATAGCTTTATTAAGTCTTACTGGTAATTCATATTGAAGTTTGTTGCACCTGGTCAAGTGATAAATTATGCTTATATTTACTTTTTTTGTTCTCAAGAATAATGATTACTAGACCGAAGTCTCCTTAAAGGCATAGATAGATCATATTTTATACTTTATTGGTAACAAACACAGCTTGAAGAGCAGAACTGATTATGAAGTAGGTACTCAATAAATACTTGTTCGGTTTACTGATTTGCTTATGCATGTTCTCGGTGTTGACAATAAAATAAATTATTAGATTAAAAGTGATATTAGTAAATCTACCAATTCTTTTCCCTTTAGCCACAAAATGTCATGGTACAGTGAATCTGTATTAGGCAGTAGTTCTTAAGCTGGGCTTCAGAGGAAGTTCCCTTAACCCCCTGAAATTGTATTCAAACATTTTTTACACATTCATGTGTTCATTTTCCTGAAGAAAGGATCCATAGCTTTCTTCAGTTTCTTGGAAATCCATAGCTCCATAAACTGTTAGAATCACTGATACTAAACATATCTACCTGCACCCTAAATGTCAGCAATGATGACTAAGAAAGAAAAGCAGTCTTCTTTTGCTTTGTATAAACTATAACAACATTTTTTCTCTGATTTTGTTTTTTACCTTTCTAAAGATGTCTGATCTCCAGTCAAAATTAAGTTTTCCTAAATAGTATGTGGAATAAGGCAATGTTTAAAAACATGGATACAAACAGGATGACTTGAGGCTGCTTCTTGTTCCTGCGCTACACTCTGAACTGAGTTGGTACTTTCTTTCCAGGTGTAGGTCAAGTGTTTTTTATCATTTAAAATTCTAATGGACTAAGTGGTCTGGGACCTAATTATGGGGGACATTACCTGTATCCTTATGTGTGCTCACAGCCACTAAAATCAACAGCATTTCAGCTAACGGTCCCTGCCTTCTCACTTCAGAGAATTTGGGGCAATGGGCTCCTAGCATGAGGAGTTGACTTTGGAATTCATTGTACATCTCACAGTCTAAAGGCATCAGTATTTAAAGGTAGAAAGCCTTGTTTTTTTTAATTTAGACTGACAAAACAGTTGCAATCAAATCAGTTTAGAATGTTTCTCCATAGGCCCCACACCTTCACCATCTTGTGTTTTTAAGTTAATGATTGACCAGTTTACTGCATGGCTGCAAAGTGAATAAAGCAGTTATGTTAAACAGCATTCCCTTTTCAGGACGAAAAATAGAACTTTTACAAATATGCTATTGATTTTAAATCCGGCTGATAAAAACATATAAAAATGGACCTCTCAGCTGTACATTTTATTACTACCTAGTACTTAAGTAGTAGGAGGGGCTATGGGTGGATAGCATATAATCCCAGTGGCTCCTCCAAACTTTTATGTTTAAGTTGGTCAGAAATACTATATATCCATGTTGTTATTCTATTATTTACCTTTTAAGTTAACATACATTAACTTATTACTTATAAGTTAACATACATTATTTTTAAGTTAACACACATTAAGATTGCTATATGCCTACATTCTTATTTTTAAATGTTGGTTTCTTATAAGTGTATTCATTCATTCATTTATTGAGACAGAGTCCTGCTCTGTCTTCCAGGCTGTAGTGCAGTGGCATCATCTTGGCTCATTGCAACCTCCACCTTCCACGTTCAAGTGCTTCTCCTGCCTCAGCCTCCCGAGTAGCTGGGACTACAGGTATGCACCATCAAACTCAGCTAATTTTTGTATTTTTAGTAGAGACGGGGTTTTACCATGTTGGTCAGGATGTTCTCAATCTCTTTACCTCGTGATCTGCCGGCCTCGGCCTCCCAAAGTGCTGGGATTAGAGGCGTGAGCCACCGCGCCCGGCTAAGTGTATGTATATACGTATGTATGTATGTATGTATATATGTATGTATGTATGTATTTATATTTCTTTGAGACAGAGTCTTGCTCTATCGCCAGGCGCCAGGCTGGAGTGCAGTGGCGCGTCAGCTCACTGCAACCTCCACCTCCCAGTTTCAAGCAACTATCCTGCGTCCCCTCCTGAGTAGCTGGGACTACAGGCGTGTGCCACCACGCCCAGCTAATTTTTGTATTTTTTAAGTAGAGACGGGGTTTCATCATGTTGGTCAATCTCTTGACTTCGTGATCTACTCACCTCGGCCTCCCGAAATGCTGGGATTACAAGTGTGAGCCACCGCGCCCAGCCAAGTGTTATTTATTTTTACAAAGACACAACTGCCCCCTTTGGTGGTCATCAGAGAAGTTACAGCTTTATTAACATTAGGGCACCCACAAAGACAAGCACTTGGGAAGCTGTTAAAATTATAGAATTTCAACCTTCTGAAGGTTCACTGAAAATCCACTCGCAAAAGGCAGATTAATAGGAGAAAAGATATACAAAATTTATTTTCATTTGCATAACACAAGGGAATTGCAGAATAATTGCCCAATAACCCAATGGGGTACAGATGCTCATATATCCTTCCCAGGGGAAGAACAGAAAGGGAAATGTGGATGATTTTAAGGGGGATAGTAAAGAATTTTTGTTGGAATCCAACGAGCTTGGTAAACATACAATGGCCTGGGATAAAGTCTGTTGGGCCTGAAGAGCAGTATGACAAAAGTATGTCCAGTTGTGTTGACAGGCTTCAATCTTTCGTCCTGGGATGTAAGTTAGATTAATAAAAACTCAGGGAAAGTAGGTGCATTATTCTTTGGCAGGTCTGGTTTCTAGGTACATAAAAGACCTTCAGAGAACGACTTCACCCTGTGCTTTGGGCGAGACAGCAGACTGAGAGACAGGAGGCAGGGAGAAGGTCAAAGTGACCTTGCAGCTGCTTCTTTAGTCCAGCATGTCAAAGTGTCATATTTTCAGGTATCAATTTCTTTGAGCCCAACAAAACCCTAAGAGCAACTTTCTAAGGAAAATGAAGCTTTACAATTGTTTTGGAAAATTCTGACTCATACCCATTCTATAGGTTGGCTGTCAAGCATCCACTTTTGGCATTAGAGTTTTTCTGCTTCTTCTGCAAGTTTTAGAGCTACTTTTTCAAGTGAAATATTTAAATATCTAAGCTTTTAACCTAACAAAAACTCCAATATCACAATAAATGTCTTCTAAGAAGATTGTAAATTGAGTGGAGGTAGAGAAGTCAGTTACAGGGACCCCCCACTAGAGACCACAAGGCAGCACCCAAATAAATCCATTTTAATTTTCATTTCATTTCAGTTATATTTCACAGCTGTGGTATCATTAGTGGAGAGAGAAGCAGCTCATAGGCGAGCCTAGTTCAAAGGAATTGAAATTTAGCATGGAATGCAAAATTGAAGACTTCTGCCTCTAAGAGGATGATTGTAGAAATACTGAGATTGAAGGATGTAGACTTGATGCTTCACCAGACAGCAGAATTAGCAGTCTGGGGTGATCCTGCATGTATTGGTCAGTGTCCATGAACACTACTCTTTACAAGAGAAAAATACCTGAGAAGCTATGAGAAGTGTGTATTTCTGGCCTGTCATGGTGGCTCATGCCTGTAATCCCAGCCCTTTGAGAGGCCAAGGTGCGTGGATCACTTGAGGTCAGGAGTTGGAGACCAGTCTGGCCAACATGGTGAACCCCCTCTCTATTAAAAATTCAAAAAAATTAGCTGGGTGTGGTGGCGGGTACCTGTAATCCCAGATACTGGGAGGCTAAGGTGGGAGAATCGCTTGAACCCAAGAAGCAGAGGTTGCAGTGAGTTGAGATCGTGCCATTGCACTCCACCCTGGGCGACAGAGCAAGACTCCATCTCAAAAAAACAAAAACAAAACAATAAACAGTGTATTTCTCTTAAAATTCTTTCCTCCATCCTTCTGCTCTAGAAGGTGCAGTATAAACTGCTCATGAAGCGCGACTTTCACGTTTTGAGAGGTTAGGTTCCAAGCTTTGGCCCTCTCATACCCAGGGGATCCCACTGGGTTCCCTGCAGAGTGCTTCTGCGTGCACCCTTTGGTGCACAATGGATCAGTATTGTTGTCTTTCTTTGCGCTGGGGTTCTGACCGCCGGGGGGAAAATAGCCACACACAGGGATATGGCATAAGTTAAAATCAAGTAAGCCTAGTGGGGTGGTAATGACTTTCCCAGCATCCAACTCTTTGCCTTCAGGTTATGTGAAGCTAGAAAAACAGTGTCATTCATTCAGCATTTACAGGGAGCTTACAGTGTACAGGGTACTATGCTAAGCACTGGAGGGCATGCAAAAGTATGCAAAACACAATCCCTGCAACTGAGGATTCCTGCGAGGAAGGGTATTTCCAGTATTACTCAGACTTTAAGACCCTTGAAGAAATGCTTGGTTGAATAAAATTCCACTCAGAATTTAAAATAAGCAAGGAAAAGTATACCACTAGGACAGTATATCTTTTAAGAGGCAGGGCATGTAATGTGCTTTAAACATTTACTTCTAAGGTATTACAATGTAGTTGGGATGAAGGAGGAGCGAGAGTTGTGGGGTGGGATGACTCTTGGACGAACCTGATTTGAAGGAGGCACTGCTTGGATGCCTGCAAAGCTAAGTTGAATCCTAACAAAGAGGAGGCCGGCACTCTTATCTGGGAAGTGGATAACTTTGAGGAAAAGTAGCATCCAAAGAGGAAAAAAAGACGACATGTTACCTGGGGTTAGGATCCCCTCACCCTTACCAACCTGCACGCTGACCGCACCCTGGCCGAACCACTCTGGGCCGCACACAATCGCATCCTCTGCTCAGGCCGCGCGGCCCAATTCCACCATCTACCCGAAGCCCACAATCCTGGCACACGGCCGCTCTAGCCAGTAGTCAGCCACGTGCGCCCGGGTTCTCCTCTTGGCCCTTCAGCGGGCCCGGAGCCTCCAAGGTCGCCGTAGCAACCGGGTGGTCCCTCTCTCGGTTCCCCAGCGCCCAGCAGAGCAGTCCCGACCGCCGCGGCGGCGGCGGCGGCGGGAGCGAGCGGCCTCGGCCCCTCCCGAGAGAGGGGGCAGCGCGACCGTGGGCTGCGGGCGCCGCCTCTGCTCTGCTGCATCGGTGGCTGGGCGCTCCGCTCCGCTCTGCCGGGCTGGGATCCGGACCCCGAGCGCGCCTCGCTGCCTTCCCCTTCTCCTCTGCTGCCGCCCCGTGGGCAGCTTCTCCAAGCAAGACGCGTGTTCGATCCTCCGTCCCCGCGTTTACGGATTTCCGGGAGCGCAGAATTTTGCCTCGGTCCCTACGAGCATCTCTCGGCCTCTCTCCCCCTCCCCTCGCGACTCCCCCACCCCGTGGGCGCGCGCGCGCGCACACACACACATTTGCAGGCGCGCGTGCGCGCACACACACACATTTGCAGGCGCGCGTGCGCACGCCCGCGTGCCTCCAGCCGCGGAGTCTCCAGCGCCCCTCAGCAGATCCCGGCTCTCCCAGGCGCCGCTACTCACACAGGCTTCCAGCCGCCACGGGGCGTCCTCTGTCTGCTGCAGCGGCGGCGACGGCGGCGGCGGCGGCAGCGGAGGGAACGGTGACTGCAGCCCGGCCCCATCTCCCAGCTTCGTGCCCGGGACAGAGTCCGGGAGAAGCAAAGAAGGAGGACGCCGAGGCTAGGAGGAGCCGCGCCGCGCCCGGCGCCCCACTCCGCGCGGCGGGCTGCCTCCGCTCCCCATACGGCGCCCCCAGGTAAGCAGCTCCGGGGCCCGCAGCATCCCTGGGGCGTCCGGGCTCCGAGCCGGGGTCTTGTGGTCTCGCCCCCGCCAGGGCACCTGGATCTAGACTGGGAGAGGAGTGGGCGAGGGGGGAGGGGAGTGGAGCTAGAGGTGAAGCTGGTAAGGAGGGGTGCGTGGACGCGTGGGGGCTTCGGTGCAGCCCCCACACTCTTCCCCGCTGTGCCCTGGCTCAAGCTCCGTCACTTTTACTAGCTCGGGGGTGCCCCGCGCCCCAGACAGCTGTTCTTCGCTCTCCCAGCCGTCCGCCAGCCAGTGTCGGCTCCGGGCTCCGCGCCCGCCGCGCGCCAGTCACCTCCCCTGCACCTTGGACAGCGCACCCCGCGCCAGTCGCCCCCAGCGGGCGTCGCCCCGGGGACCCGGTCCTGCCCGCGCAGTGCTCCCGCTGCCCTCTTCTTTCCAGGTTGTCACCCTCCCGCCCTGCATCCCTGCTCCTCCAGCGGTGGCGGACTCCGCTCTGCTGCGGGCCGGAAACTTTCCTCCCCGCCTGGTCTGCGCTGGGTACTATTGTTGTTATTTGTGATTGTCCCCTCTCCCGGGGAGCTCGGACACCTTGGACAGGTCTTACTCGGCGGGAGCGCGCCCAGCCAGGCCCCGCGCGAGGCAAAGGAGGCACTGAGGCAGCCGGACTCGGCCGCTGCTAAGGTGCAGAGCTCGTGCCTCGGCCCCTGGACGCCGGTCGCCTCCCCGCCTCTCCGGACCCGACACGTGCGCGCCTCCCACGGACGCGGCCCCTCCCAAACCACCCCACGTCCTCCCCCTGCACGGCCACAGCCACCCCATAGGTTGGACACCCGGGGCTCTCGAGTCCTGATTGGCTGAAGGCGTAAGCCCGCCCCCTTTCGGAGGGGGGTGGTTCTGGAGTGTTGTGGTTGTCATCCCGCGGCGAGCACATGGGGAAAGTGGGGTCGACAGGTGGGCAAGCCCAGCTCTGTGGAATCCCTGCGTCTCACTGTATAGCCACTGAGCCACGCTCCTTCACCCAAATACACTCCTGCTTCTCTCTTTTTCTCCCTCAATCTTTCACTGCTTTAACATTAAAAGAAAAAAGAAACTTGGCTTTGTAATTATAATTTATTAAGATTGCATTTGTTTGGTGGTAGCAATTTTTAAAAGCAGACCTAGGAGAATTCAGGAAATAAGAGCATATGGAGAGAGAGGTTCGTGGCCAACTGGGCTGCAGATTTGAGTCTGGTAGTTTAGAGAAAGTAATGAAGGGTGCTTAAGGGATCTGAAGAAGGCTGATAAAGTGGGAAGGAAATTGATTCCTGAAGGAGAGAGACAGGTGAGCGAGCTTGGAAAGCTGAGAGAGGAGGAAGTGGGTCATTTGTGGGGTGAGATGTGAGGGAGAACCCTGGTGGGCACTCTCAAGAGGTAGGTGCGTACTGTTGGAGAGAGATCTGTCAGGGAAAGTGGTAATATTGGCTGGTACTTAGCTCATGGTTAACACATTCTGCTTTTGTTTTGCTAGCGTTGCCCCTTTGATAGAGAATATGTATTAATAATGTCTATTCATGTAATGGATATTGCTTATTCCAGTTGCTTGTAATATACAGAGTTGAAAGTGATAATGAATTTCAAAAAGTGGAAGGCCTCTTGGAAGGGATACCTTAAATAGTTAAAGTGCTTTCGGAATATTGTGAGGGAAGACGGATGAGCATTGCATAAAATGCAGATTGTTCTGGCGTTATTTAGAGCCTTTGAAGAAATATATGTGTATGTATAAATGATACTGATTTCTCTTCATTTCAAAGCGTGATTGCCTCTAGCATTTTCCAGCTTTAATTCCTTCAGGCTGTTTCGATGTTGTGTCTGTACATCTAAGAATATTGTAATTCTTGTCTTTAGAAGCCTTGTCAATGCAAAACAAACAGCAACTGATGCAAGTTAATGTTGACAACTTTATATTGAGTACACTGTGTGTTATTTTATTTTTAAGCTATTGAAATATGCAAGAGTAACATAGCATGATTGTTGTTCCCCAGGGACCTATATCAAAACAAAGTGGGGAATCACATGAGGCTATTTCAGGGAGAACAATTCAATTATTTTTAAGATTAATAAAATGTAAGATTCTTGGGTGTAAACAGCAACACTCTTTGAATTATCTTTGTACATACTGGTAGCATATGATAGTAAAACAACATATTAAATGTATTACATGATTCCAAAGTAGATGGTAAAGGCTTCCCATTATTATTATTTTTATATAAGTAGACAGAATTGTTTTTCTGACTGGAGAACCTCCTATTGAGGAAACAGGATTTGATATATGTGATAAACTGGAAATTATTGCTGTTGTTAAGAAAGTAATTCTGTTTTTTTCTCTAGTACATGCCTTGATTTTCCTAAGGGATTCAGATTCAAGTTGTGGGCCTATCAAATTTATATGAGTTTGTATGTAGGGGAATGTATATAATCACATATGCATACAGGCAAAATATTTGTATGTATATCAGCACACAGTTGTATATTTATGTACACATAATTTTAGGGTACATTCATTGTATTTATTCATATATATGTTATTGTCATCCTTGGAATTTTTTTCTCATTTCTTTTTGTCCAAAAGGTGGCCCTGTTTTAAACTGCAGAAAGCATTATCACCAGAAGAATTGGCCAATAGATCATGGAAACAGACAATAGTATTTTGTTGCCTGGCAACCACCTACTGTGAATGAAAAACAAAGCAGTGACAGCTGCTTCCACATCCTGATACTCACACTGTAGCTCAGGCATTGCAACCCTCCAAATGAGACAGATCCATTAAGTTTCATTTGAGTAAGGTGAAGCTGTTTTTCTTTTCTTTTCTTTTCTTTTCTTTTTTTTTGGATATTTTAAAGGAATATTAAATGTTTTATTATAATAAGAATTATTGTGGGATGAAATGAAATATCTAACTTCAATTGCCCTCTTAAGCCTAGTATAAACTGAAAAATGCAAGATTGGGAGGATTGTTTAGACCCTTTTCATTCTTCGCTTTATAGTCATTAAACATGGTAAGCACGTTTTTCTGCTGCTGCTAGGTGCTCTTAGGATATTACAAAAACTCGAGTTTTCTATGGCAGGATTTTACTATAGGAGAAAAGTAAAGACTGAGGCTCTAGCCTAACCCTTTAATTTTAAGGAACACTGAGGCATATCGAGATTTTTGTGACACAACCCTGGTGACAGACCCAGTCTCAGGATTTCTTCCCCTGGGTCACATTTGACCATTTCCCGCTCATTTCTGTCCTTAATTTTTCTTTCTTTGCTTTTATTTATACAAAATTTGCAATGAATATTTTTATCTTAATAAAAATCTAACATTGTAATTTCTCTTTTCATACTAAGAAAATACAGTACCATTTGAGAGTAAAAATTCAGCATTGACATGCTAGGCTAGATTGTGGTCTTAGATGCATTGTGTACAATATATTCTGCCTTCAGTCTCTAAAAGTCCTATGATTCCTGCCTCTTTCCCTAAACTGGGAAGCCCAGTCCCTTGCTTTGGTAGTTGTCTATGGCTTTGGGCAGTCCTTAATAATCTCTTATTCTGTGTGTGAATTTTCAGCAGGGATGAGATTCAAGATGGTGTTGGTCAGTTTGTAGATCTATAAGAGTACATTGTAGCTAATTAAACAATCAATCACTCATTATAGCTCCTATCCTGCAATGCAGTAGACATACTGTTGGTATAGTGATCTGGGCTCTTGGAAGTTCATGGGATGGCTGTGTCCCTGCCTAATATTTTTTTCAGTCTTTTATCAAAGCCATCTTGCCAAAGGTGTTACCTAATGCCTGTTAGTGGAAGATGAGTCATCTATCTCTGAGAGAGGTGATAGTGTAGATTGTTTCTTAATGCTAAAAGGATAATGAATGGATTATTGGATGGAAAACTTGGATCATATATGCATTATTAAGCATTTCTTCTAAACTTAGGAAATATATATTGTGTGTAATACATTTTAAGGTTCCTTATGCTATTTTAAAGAATCTGTATTCTGCTGTTTATTATTTATGACAAAAGTAAGTATTTGATTTTAATGCAACTCCTTAAGTAGAAAACCTTGACATTGACTGATTGGAGAAGCAATGTAGTGACAGTATTAAGTACCATTAAAGAGCCGTTTTCACCAGAAAAGACATACTTTAGTAGATTTGTAGAGGGGAATAAATGGGTTTACAGCATGTTAAACCTAGTTTTAGAATCCTACTACTAACTTGTTCTAGCTGGAAGGATTTTCCAAAAGAATAATAATTTGGCAAAGTTCAAGTGAACCTTACTTTAAAAAAAAATATTTTCTACTGACTGGATATAATTTGTCTCAAAGAGTATTTGTTTCAGAACCACTAGGATTTATGTGAATTTCAAGGTTATGTTTATTAAAAAAAATTTCTGGATTATTTCTGTATCTACTTGCATAGTGTGCTGTTAAATATTCTGTAGTTCATATATTTAATCTACTGGAATCTTGGGATTTAATTAACTTCTTTCTCCTATTTTCATGTGCAAAATAACTTGTACATATGTGCAAACACTCACAATACTTACATTTTTTTCTTTTTGTCATTTTTCATTCCTGTGATATAATATTACAGGGCCTGATTTTTGTGTTTTTTTATTCAGTAAAAGAGCTTTAAACAAGAGATATTTATGTTTCCAATTTTCTTATGTCAGCTTCTACTATTATAACCTGTAAACTCTTACCCACCCAAATAGGATGATTACTAAAAATAAGCAAACAAAATATAAGCAGCATTCTCTTTGCTACCCTCCAGGATAGCTAGGAAGGCATATTTTCTCATTCTTAGATACACATATACTTTCACATACACATAGAGTTTAAGGTCCTACAGACTCTTATTTTAAAAGCAGACAAAAGTAGTATTTTATCGGGAGAACTGTGTATGGTAGTTTTTCAAGTTAAAGTAATGTATTCAGATTTTTAGAAATGTAGCAACATAGGAAGAATTCATTAGAATTACTCCCTCTGGAAAAATTTCATATTTACACTGACAACATAACATCTCAGTGCCCCCAGCACAGAGAACAGCGCTCAATACCTACGACATGTAGCCTGGCATATGGCAGACACTAAGTGTATATTTTGTGGAATTAATACATCTTTTCTCCCTATTTGTGTAATGCTGCAAATATTTCAAGCTTCATCTGTGTGGATAATAAAAGTTTAGAGATTGGAGAAGAAATTACTGTAATTTCTAATTGTTTCTGGCGCTGCATTTTTAAGCCAAAATAGCCAACTTAGCCAGCGATATTTTCAGTATAGAAAATAATGCCAGAGCTATTTATTTTCCACAAATACAGCCATCCCAAGTAGAGAATAGCTCTTCAATAGCCCACAGCAGCATAACAAAGGTTATGGCAGCAAGTCCAAATAAATACTTCGTTTAGTTCGTGCTGGAGGGTAAAGTTTGCTAGCTTCAGTGTAATTATCCAGACTGGAATGTGGCCAAGGTTCTGTGTTAACATCTCTGACAGTGGGAGAAAAGCCACAGATGAGGTCTGTAATGACTGCAGTGGCCAACGCCTTGCCTCTGCTCTGTTCTCACTGCAACAGAGCACCTTGAGCATCTAGAAAGCCTCAAAAGCCATTGTGCATGTAAGGGATAGAGCCCAGAGTCACAGTCACCATATGGATCCCAAGTACCACATTTCCAGTCAGTGGAAGAAGTCATAATTCCAGGTGTTCCATGACATTGAAATAAAACTTTCTTCTTTATCCTGTTGAATCTTTACGAGGGAGGAGGTATTGTTCCCGAAGACAAACCTGACAGAATCACAGGATAGGTAAAGTCTTACATACTTCCAATTCCTTTTACAATGAGTGTCCTTTACCTTTCTACCACTGCTCAGGTGTTTAACTCCTTTGTAGGGTTTTATTCACATCTGTGTATCAGCAATGTTTGTTAAAATGTAAAAGCTGATAAAAAGTTAAAGTACTTTTCTGGAGGGATTTCTGAGTGTCTTGCATAGATTAGGTGCTCAATATGTATTTGATTAGTTTTAATAGTGGAATTGTA